AAAAAAAAAAAAAAAAAAAAAAATTTTTTCTCAATCCCTGAATCCTGGCATAAAGTTCGGGTTCGATACATAACACACACTGCCATCATCGCTAACCACCTTTATCTCTGAATTCTGCGTGTCCCATACACGTCTTGGTCGTCTGTGTGCGATCATGCGAAATTCCCGTGCTTCCCTCATTCTTTTTCCCATTTTCCTTCTTTCTTCCCTTTTCCTTCTTTCTTCCCTTTTCCTCCACAAATGCTTTTCCTTTTGTACAAAGTGAAAACCTTTCATTCGGCAATACCACGTCCCCAATCTTTAACTTCCCTATATCTTCTCGCTTCCTCTTTCCTAATATCAACTCCCCACCTGTACGCTTCCGACTTTATACCGTTCGCTACCTTCCTTCCTTTCGTTCGGATACAATGTCATCCCTCATCCTATCGAGAATCGGTAGACTTTTTTTTACTATTCGAAGTCCGCCAGACGGACCCTTCGAAATGTTCTTGGATCCAACAAGTTCCGTAAGTAAGGCTAAATGTTTGTCGTTGAATTACCTATATTATCACATCCAAAAATATGTCTGTACCTACAGATTATTTTCGATACGTTTACCGATAGGTTATTGCAAGTTCCTTCATCCGTCATTCTTTTTTTTTATACCGGGTTTTTCATTCGTATAAATAGGTATGAGGTTCGATTTTCGCGCGGGTTTTTAAATTCTTGATTTTAAAAAAACTTGAGGACACGAACCGAAAAGGGAACGACTCGTGAAAATCTTAGAAAAGTCTCGGGAATGAAAATCCTAAAATCTTGGAAAAGTCTCGGAAAAGTCTTGGGGACGATTTTCTATAAATCTCGGGAAAAGTATTGGGGACGATTTTCTATAAATCCCGGGAAAGTCCTGGGGACGGGGACCGAAAGGACCAAGGGACTGAAGACACTATATTTTGTATAACATGAAGTATGTCCTCGAAGCCCCTAGTTCATACTACTGACGTCTTCAAGAAGGAATCCGCTACACCAGAAGAGGCCACATCAGCTTCAGTCAAGGCGACAGTCCAGCCAGATCCGTCAAGCAAATCGCCAAGCACACTCCATAGAGCCATCTCGATATGCAGGCCACCAAGCATAACTACATACGCTGCTCTCCATGTGAGTCTGGCCACTTCCACTGGACCATCTTCGCAAGTGCAAACAGAGGCTGGTCAACGGTGATGATAGGAACCTGGCCCGGATTTAGAAAGGTAACTGCCTGCCATATGACATCCATGCCGTGCTTGACCATCGCTGGGGTCGCCGCCTTTTCGTAGAACAAAGGGAGTAGTGCAGTCAAAGCAGGTGGATCTTCTTCCGTCTGGGCCGAAGCATGAAATGCTGCCCAAGCCAACGTATCTCCTGAGGTTACTGATTCTTCGTCAAGTTTTTCGAGAGAATGCACCACCCACTGTTCCTCATTACGTTTCGCTTCAGCCATGCAACTAACTATTTCTTTCATATCACGCGTTGGTACAACTGCCTTGCTAGTGTTCAACTCTACGGGGTAAACAGTTGCGTATTCCTCTGGGAGAGCATGCCCGGTTCCCTGTGGCGGTAACGCTACTGGAGGCCTCTCTTCGCCAGGATTACTAATTGTTGGTAACTGAAAAAGACTAATGCCTGTTCCATGGAACGACGAGGCTGCCGTCATAGAGCTAGGGTTATGATCTGAATTATCAAGGGCTCCAACGGTAAACACACCCTTTTTTAGACAAGCAGGTACCACAAAACCGTCCGCTTCAAAGCGCTCACTGATGGAAGTAGCAAACATGTCCTCTAATTCCATGATCCTTAGATATGATACCGAAAGTCCCATCTGGTACAACTTTGCAATTAGTGTCTTACTTCTGGTCATTGCATGGACATTAAATCCGAGGTATAATGGAAGAGGTGGTTCGCGTGATTTAGTATGCCGTGACTGGCCAGTTTTTGACTGAACAGTTGAACGTTCCTTGGCGTTTGTATTAAAAATTATGGTTTGACACACTGTTAAGCATGGCTGGGATTCTTGCGCCTCGGTGTTCTTAATGTTCACCCCACTTAAAATCATTGACATTAATGACTTAAGGCTAGCTGGTACAGATCTCGCTTGGCAGTCTTGCGGAAAACTTCCAGAAAATTTAAACCCTTCATGACTAAAAATGTCTTTTCGAACAATTGCTGAAGCCTTAGCTAGAATCACAGCGTCCTCTGAGAAGTCTCTCTGCTGTACCACCTCTTTCACAATGCCCTGTATGGCTTTCTTGAAAATTATAACAACATTCTTTCCATCATTTTGCTCTTGAGCGTCTGGGAAGTTTTCCAGTATCGAGGTTTTAAGTCTAGTTCTATTCACTTGTTTTTGAACGCCTAGGGTTTGAAGCCGACTTACATAAAGTGAACGCAACTCACAAAGCAAAAAAAATAACTTCTCATTCTCAACAGAACTCTCGATATATGCGTTTAACTCGATAAAGGCTTGAGATTCCTTCATTTTCTCATCTTCTTCACATGATTCTTGTCGTGCTCGTGTTAAGTGACTTCTATAGCGGTTGCGCAGGTTTGTCATGCATTTCATGTGATATTTTGCTTCAGCTGCAATAAGGTCAACCCCAGAAATCTTAGGTAACAGCGTGTTGTCTTGTAGTTCTGTTATCATTCGGCGAAGAATTTCATCAGTAGCGAAAGTAGTGACATTATGAAGCGGGCCAGTACAAGTTTGGTCACACAATATGCAGTTCTCTTTGCAGTTCTTCTTTATGCCTGAGGACAGTATACGCGTTTTGGTTGGTTTCTCCTGCTCTGGCTTTGCTTGATCTTGCTTCCTTTTTCAAGCTGCTCTTTCCTTTGCTTTATTTAGTTTAGATTTACTGAATTGTAAATGGCAAGACTTGTGCCACGCAGCTTCTTTTTCGATCAAGGCATCAACATTTAACTCGAGTGGCAGAGTAAGGCTAACAGGCAATATTACATCCAGTGAATCACGGAACTCAGAAACATTTTGTAGAAACGAGTTATACACGCTTCTGGGATCGCTCTTATCTGCTCCACGTGATCTTAATGGACATCTTAGCTCTTCTGATGTATCTTTCTGGCAGATGATGCAATGACTCCAAGAAAATGCCATCATCTCTGAAATTTTTAACAATTGTTGATAGCACACAATCAGGCTTTTTAGATAAAAAATAAAACTAATTGCAAACACACTTTAGAAACATCCTTTAACATAAAACGATTTATCTAGAGAAATTTGTAAAAAAGAAAACCTGTTATAATTGCATATCAAAAGCTGAATACTTACAGTTTTCGTAAAGATGCATCGAGCCGCCATCTTGGAAATGACAAATTGGTGAGTGGGACTGGTACTAGTTGTTTATAGCAATTTCTAAATATAGCCTTTTTTCTCATTTGGAAAGGTTTTAACAAACAGAAATAAAGATATCAGACTAAATAGTTTACTTACACCATTAAAACGACATGTAAGATTGATTTTCGGCATAAAATGCACTTTATATAAAAAGCACCACAGGGAGCCCAAGACGAGATATTTTCAAAAGTTTAATCCCCTTTAAGTCGTTTATGAGGAATATTTGCATTGGGCACCCCTTCCAATATTGATAGTACTATCATAAGCTATAACTGAGCCAAGTTTGGTGCTTTTGTCAGCTCTGTAAACATCGTGACCTTAAGAGACCTGACTATATGTAAAATACTGTTATTTGTTTGTATGCAAATATAGGATGCAGCCACAGAGTAGAGACTATAATA